TAAAAATGAAAATGATTCCCATATTCCTAACATATATTACAAAATGTGTTCTATTTGCAGCCACACATGATTATTCGATGCATTTAAGCTCCGTCTGGGGTAAGTAAGACCGCCGGGGCTCGCACAGGAGATGCTGCTCGGTTTGACGGGTGTTTTGTTCAGCTTTTAATTAGATTTGTGATTTATATTTTTCATTTGCGTAATTACAAAGCGGTACATCATTGGCGCAATTAAACTGCAGTAAACTTGGACAGACGGCGGAGAGAACAAGACCTTCTGCCACTTGGCTGGCTCTCGTATAATTTATATTAAGTCGTTCTGAGGAATGCACCGCCGAGTCGAGTGCTGCAGGAAGGCTGCGGGCTGGCCCATAAACCCACATTTCTGACGGGGCAGCCCTCGCGGCTCTCTATGCGCATACTACGCGGAGAGGAGCGGACCTGGAACTGGAACAGGAGTCGTAAAACACAGCTATGGGCGACAGCGTCGAAGGATTAAAAAATGACTGCGTGACAAAGCATTTTATAATCGTCATCTGATTCACTTAAAAACACATTCATCGCCGCCACCGCTGGCTCGATGTCGGAGTTCAGACCCGCCGTGAAGCCGACTAGCGATCCGAATTTGGGCTCGGGCGAACCGCAAGGGCCAAAACAAGCCATAAACCGCCTCAATAAAAATGTATCAAATTAAGGAATAAATTTCATGTGCAACAGCAACAGCAGAGCGTTCTTCTTTTTTACAACTATGACTCCGAGTGCTTCAGCTGCCGTCGAGTCTAACTTGAGCAGCATTTCACTCAATAGATTGCGAGTGCCCGTCCCTCAACTCTCAACCCTCAACGCTCGACTGTGACGCATTCTCACTCAGTCGAATTCCGTGCTTGGTGGTTAGACGGTTCTTAGCTCAGTATGGATGACTTCTATTTGGCTGATTGCTTATACTACGAAAGATTGAGAGACTATTACTGCTAATACCATCGTTAGTGTTCGACTCAGAAGGAACTCAATATGAAATACAACAATGAGGATAAAATTTCTACTAACATAAGGGGCAAACAAAAATGAGGCATGCCTTTCATATTAAAAGTAATTTTCAGGCTTAGTAATGCCCTCTATACCCTAAAACAAGGGAAATTCATTTGCAATCGTTTCTTTGTAATCAGTTATCCAGTAAGAGGTTGCTAAACAATTTGAATTCCTCCACTTGCCTGCACTCAGATCCCTCACTAGGAAAACGACATTGCATCCACTTTGGTTAAGGGGGGTTTACGATCCTAGTAAAGTGCGCCGCGAGTCGCTGCCTCTGTCCCAGTCGAGGCGTCGAATAGTGCCTTATTGTGATTTCGTTCACTTTTTATTATTATTTGCTGCTGTGCTCTCTCACCCAGTTTCCATTTTATTAGTTTATTACGGTTATTATCTTTTAATGACAAGCGCGAGCGCCGCCACTTGCCGCTCGCGTTGTTGTTGTTGTTGCTGTTCTGTTGTTCTTCTCTTTATATCACACTCGAGTAGTTTACAAGCACATGTATGTAAGTGCGTGTGTGTGTGTGTCCCTCTTGCTCTTGTTGTTGTTTTCATGCCCAGGTATTTAGCAATAACGTGTGAAGTTGTTTTATTATTTGTTTTGATTATCAAAATTGCCGGTTTGCATTTTCCGGTCGTTGGCCGCCCCTCGCTCTCACCCCGCTCACCATGCCCCTCGCTCATCCATTCACGTTCCGGTGCTTCATGCAGGTGCCGTAAATCACGGCATGCCCGGACCAATCCACTGCACTCAAAATGCCACTCAAAATAGAGCCCGAACCGACACTCGCACTCACTCGCACTCATTCGAGCCCGCAGCAGCAGCACGACTTCAGACTGACTTGTATGACCAATAAAGCAATTAATTTTAAGCACTGCCGACTGTAAACTGTTGAGTGTAGAGTATGCAGCATAGAGTATAGAGTACAGAGTATAGACCCCCAGCAGATTCAACTGGCGGGGCAGCCATAAAAACGTAATTTGGCAGGGCGTTAAGTGCATGGAATATTGCTAAAGGATTGATCAATTATTTAACTGTTGCCGCCGACACGAATAGCAGTTTGCAATAAAATCTGATTTCTTAATTCAATGAACTGATTGACAATTATACGTAGTTACAATAAATCTTATTTAAAACCTCTTAAATATGTGAAAACTGGGAACTCTTATCATAAAGGGTCAAAGGGTCATTGCATGTCTTGGAATCAGCTCAGAGCAATCTTCTATAATGCCAAGAGGTATCTCAGAATGACCTTTCTCTTAACGACTTCAAATATAGCCAATAAATATTACTTATATAGTTTTAATCGAAGTGTAAAAAGTCAAATTACATTCTTTATATTATTTATATATTTCTATTATATTTATTTTTTTAATATTAAAGGTTAATTTAAGAATAAGTAAGCATTACCTCCTGGCAAATTGATTTTATTACAGTATATCTACTGTTTTTTCTTTTCAGACTATTACAGATATTATATCTCATTTATAAGTAATCGTTTAAATTTTTTATAAAAATGTTGCAAAATATATGAAAATAAAATCACATAACTGTTACACATGTTTATAATTCTTGCAAAAAAAAAATTATAATATTAAATTGCTTTAGACGAATATTCAAGCAAGCTAAGAGTTAATGGAATTTCAGAATAGGGGCAAGGCTCAATTATCAGCACTGATTAATAAATATGTATAAAAATAGAAATGTCGTATCGTAATAAAATGCATCAATTTTTAAGCTATCAAGTTCTATTGATTATAAATGGTAAACTACAGAAGGAACTCTTTTGTTGTGGAAATATTTGTTCATCATTTCCATTTTATGGGATATTCTTATGTATTTGAAAATTGTTAAAGCATTCTCTTGACAGCGCGCATAATATTATACGGTATCAGACATGGACGGCATTTAAATGCCCGAAAATAGATTAAGTAAAGACTAGATTGACTTTTAATTAGGATATGTTACTTTCTTCTTATATCCGTGATATTGAAATATCCGTCTCTCTGCCCGTCCGTCTTTCTCTTCGGGCTGCGAGCTACGATTATCCAAATCTGAAACATTGAGCAAGT